CAATTGAGCCCCCACATTTCTGTCATTAAATGAGACATTTGTTCAGTGAGTTTTGCTCCATTTTACCACCTTTCTCGCCGTAGTTGTTAAGTGAATCATTGCACTTGTTAAATTAATAACAGTTGTTAAGTGAATCTGGGCTTCCCCATTGACTTGGCTTGTCAGAAGGTCGCAAAAAGTGATCACGTGACCCCGGGACACTGCAGCCGTCATAAGTATGGGTCAGTTGCCAAGGGTCTGACTTTGACCGTGTGACCATGGGGATGCTGCAAAATTTGTAACGGAAAAAAACGGTCATGCATCACATTTTTCAGTGCCGTTGTAACTTTGAACGGTCACTAAATGAACTGTTGTAAGATAAGGATTGCCTGCAGAGAGCAAGTATAACATAAAATGATATTTTTTCTAAAGTTGAAGGGCTTGGTGCAAGACATTTTTAAACCTATCAAAAAAACAAAAAATACTGTAAGATGCAGATTAGGAGCGGAAGTCAAAATAAGTAAAAAAAAATAGTAAGGGAGCCCCTGTCCACTCAAATCACCAGGACCAGATGCCTGACACCCCCAAATTCTGAAGAAAGTGGCTTTTCGTTAATTTTGTCACATTGTTGAAGAATGCAACAAGATTTATCTGGCATGATCTGTTTTTGACAAACCCATGTTGGCTTCTGACTTTGTTTACCTCTGGGTGTTCGCAGATTAGTTGCTTGATTACGTTTTCCAGAATCTTTCCAGGTATTGAGGTCAGGCTGATAGGTCTGTAGTTTCCTGGATCCATTTTTCCCCTTTTTTTTGAACATGGGAACCACATCAGCTCTTTTCCAGTCATTTGGTAGTTCCCCGGTGCTCCAGGATCTTTGAAAAATATGTTTCAGTTGTTCTGAGATCTTGTCTGCCAGTTCCTTGAGAACCTTGGGGTGTAATCCCTCTGGTCCTGTTGATTTGAACTCGTCTAGGCTGGACAGGTGCTCACTTATTATTTTCTTGCCTATCTTAACTTGTGTTTCTATTCTGTTTTTTATGGCACTATTTTTGATAGGTTGGTTTGTTTTTTCCCTTTGTGTAAAGACATATGCAAAAAACGTGTTAAATAGTTCTGCTTTCTCCCTGTTGCTTGTCACCTTCTTGCCACTTTCACCCACTAATGGACCATCTGGTCCTAGTCGTGTTTTGAATTCACCTAGAGTTGAATAGGCGTCCTCTTACCATTTTCTTACTTATTTTGACTTGTATTGCTAATTTGCATTTGCAGTATTATTATTATTTTTTTATAGGTTGGTCTGGTTTTGTTTTGTTTTTTTTGTATAAAGACAGATGCAAAAAACAAGCAGTTCTGCTTTCTCTCTGCTGCTCATAACTTTCTTGCCATTTTCACCCATTAATGGACCAATCGTTTCCTTCACTTTTTTCTTGTTTCTTACATGTTGAAAGAAGGGTTTTTTTGTTTGTTATTTTTGACTTTAGTTCATTTTGAGCCTTAAATTTTGTGACTTCATCTTTGCAGGCTATTTGCTGACCTTCTGCCTTAGTTATGTGCTCCTCTTTCCACTTTTTATACTTGTCCTTTTTGTCTTTCAGTTTATCAGAGAGTTCTTTGTGCAGCCATGCTGGGGGTGGGGGGGTTTCTTTGAGATCTCTTATTTTTCTTTCTTCACTGGAATTGTGCTAGACTGGGTTTTTATAATCTCACTTTTCAAGTTTTCCCAAGCTTCTTGCGTTGTTTTTCCCCCTCAGGATTCTCATCCGTGGAATCCTTCCCAAGTTCTCTCTGAGTTTATTGAAATCAGATCCTTTAAAGTCCAAGACTGTAGTCTGACTGTTCTATTGCTTGTTTGTGCATAATGTTGAATTCCAATATTGCATGGCCACTCTCCCCCCCCAGGTTCCTGTAACTTCAATGCCTTCTATCATTTCATCTCTGTTAGTGAGAATTAAGTCCAATATGGCTGATCCCCTAGTTCCCTT